AAGAGGAGCGCAAGCAGCAGTCCTCTGTCACTAAGACAGACGGAGACACCTCAATTAAGCTACCCCTCTGTGACTCGGTTGATTTCACTCCTCCTCACTTGATCTCTGCACTGATCACAGATAGCGGTGTCTTGACGCCTAGTGCTGTTAGTGAGGAATTGATCAAAATCTGGTTCTGAAGAAAAGACATGTGATAGCAAAGCCTTTCTGCTATTAAATTCCCCATATCTCAAAAACTTTCATTCCGATGATATGGTGGGGAATAATTTAATGTGACACCTGCATCTCATGCGGCCCTCCCATGTGGAAGGATCATCTCAAGCGAGCAAGATGGGATTTTCCTTTTCACACGTCCAATTCAATGTGGATATCTATCACATTCCTTCCAGTGTGCAGCACAAAGATAAGCTGCAGGACGTGGGCAAATCACACCCCTCTCTTTCCTGTCAATGAACACCTTGACATAAATGGAAGTGGATATGGAATGGTTTCCAGTTGAGGGTTTTTTTTCTTGACAAAGGGCTTGGTTGAACGCAAAAAAAAGTTATCAACAAATTTTCTCAAGTCTTTTAGACAAAGGACAGAATTGTAGTCTGGTCTCCTATGGTATCAAACGTCTCTCAAAATCATACAGTCATCATCATCAATAATCATCAAAGACTCTATGTTGTAGTTGTAGCGGAGCCCCTTCGCAATCTCATGCGTTAAACATCATGTATGGAACCCTCGGAGGGTGTACCTTTTATATGGATGGGTTTTTTGTCCGAGCCTCCTGGACGTTAAGATATCCAGCCTCATATCTCTTCGCCTCTCGGTTCATCAAAAAGACAGTCGTAGGAATAGTCGTAGATCATAATTCATAATTGGCCATTCGAGTCTCCCAAAGGAATAGCTCAATCCGCAGCCGAGCATGGACCGAATTGTCACAAGACAAAAATTGAACCGAGGCGGTCATTGTCTCCTAACCTGCCTATCACACCATGGCAAGGAGCTCAATTGGCAATGCGGTTGCTGATAACACACCATTCCTGTGTTTGCATCCCAGCGAACGCATACAGCAGCAAGTAACCAAGAGCCACGAATATCCACAAGGCTGCCATGTTGGAAGGATTTCAATCAGAAAGTCGGTGAAGGTGAATGGGATTTTTATGTGTGATAGACGATAAAGGATTCGAGGGGTATCAGACGACCACGACGACGGGGTCAGGTCAATGGTGCCAGCGTTTGGCCAGTGGAGTTATTGTGTGCTCGGGATGTATGCTTTATAGAGGTAAGGAGGTTTATGAGTAATGTCAGGTGCTCTGTTAGAAGACATAGGAAATAGAGAGATAGAGGGACTTTTCTCTGGGATCTCATGCTCTCTAGACATTTTAAACACGACCAGACCGACAATTGATAGATTCTAGAGTGTTTTTCTATCACTGACACACTTCCTTCCGGTTTCTTCCATCCAATACGAATGCGAGCTGGGCAGTCTGTCTCGTCCATTAAGATTCCTTGTCGGAGAAACAGATGCGGGGTTCTTGAGAAGATTATTACTTCACACGTCTCGAGATATGAAACAGTCTAGATTTCTGTATGTGGCATGCCGGGAATTCCCTTTCTGAGTCATAGATCACATATCCATCACGGATGTTGGGTATTAAGACGGACGTTGGCATATTCCGCCAATTAGGGACCGGGGTATGATCAATTGGAAATTATTGGGAGGTTCAATCAGTCATTAGTTGTGCGCCTTGCATCCCCAAGTACATCGTGCATTTCTACCATAGTTCTGCGAATACTATCAAGTGATATAGAACTGCGCCCAACACCTCTCACGCGGGCCTACATGCATCCTCCAGGAACATTAATACGGAAATTATCGATAGGCAACTTGGAGGGAACCTTGAGCCATATCACAGTACAATTTCTATTACAATGGTGTATGTGGTCTCAAATATATATCGTGGCCTCGTAGGTGATACTATATGCATGTATTTTTGTCAAAGCCCTGAATCCTGAAACAGCTATGGATCACCATCAGACTCTGCATAATCATCGTGTCACTTGATATCGAGCAAAGATAGGGTCTAAGCCGCCCTGATCGCCAAGAACGCCTAGAACAACCGGAAGTTTCAAGCGGCCACGTCGGGTTTTGGAGGGTGCAGCTGCATATTCACCAAACGCCCTGAATCCTGAGTGCTCTACAAGAAAGAGAATATCGAGTCATCCCAAGGTTGTCAACCTCGTAGAGATCAAAGAAGATCATCAAAGACGAAAATATCTCATCATGCCCCACAAGATCCAACCCCGCTATCCGGTCCCTAACCAAACCAGCACCAACCTCACCTCCACCCAAACCAGAGACCCCAAGGGCCCAACACCGAAAGCATACTAGTCTACTCAAACAAACTATACCTGCATCTACGCGTGAGATCCCAACGGCCATCCGACAGGTGCCACCCCCGCTCCTCTTCAACGCTATACCACCTACCTTACCCGCTTGCCAACACCCAAAAGCAAAATCATGGATGCCCAATCGCCCACGACAGGCTCCCGGCCTAACCAGAAGTTCCACCTAGGATCCGAAACCCAAGGTACCGGTCCGCAGTCACCATCCGATACCCACTGTCATAGCGGCTGGTCTATCAGACGCCTTCTGGGCCGACGTGGGAGCCGCAACTACAGCGTTCTGGAGCGGGAGCCAAACCGGCTGAGGAAGCGCATGAGCAACTGAGTTTCTTTTCACGGATGAAGGGACCGTATCGGTTGGCGATGGTGATCAATTCTGGTATCGGTCCGCGCGCATCCGCGGAACAGAGGAGGATATCCATAAGCCACTTTTGTTGTTGGATGTCTCATCGAGTTTTTGGCCGTTTATTTTTCCTCCCGGGGTCGCATGGAATGCGGGTCTGCATCTTGTATTTTCGGCGTTTGGTTAGTTAGCATTGGGCGGGTAGGGGCATTTTTTTGGGAGGAGTCTGTCTCATCTATCTTTTTTTTTTTTGGATTGATCTAATAATTGGACGATTATACTCCGTAATGCGAAGTCATTGGTTGCCATCTGAGTTTTCCTGGCCGACTTCGGTATCTTGCGGTGGCAGTTGCCTTCGTGGCGAATTCTCAATGGCTTGAGGAGTTGCCACGACTTTTTCCCGGGTATTAACTTTGGAAGGGAGATGATCGTTTTAAAGAGGGCAATGTCGAGAAACCTCTACATTGTCCGGAGTAGAGGGTAGGTACTGAAGTGGTGAATAATAAGATCGGGAATGAGATCTTCCAAATGCTTATAAGCTTACGTTTTAGCGAAAACCAAAATAAAATACCAGGATTTGATGGCGGCTGTTTGCTCCTTGCAGATTTAGTGGCTGTCCTGCTCAACCCGATTCTGGGCGTTGTCTCTGCCGTTCTTGGCGTCTACGACCAAACAGTATTCTCCGCTGTCAGATCAGACTGTCAGATCAGACCTAACTGAGCGGTTGACCGTTGTGATCAAAATGCAGGAACCACGGTGGAACAATCTGAGACCGGAAGTGGAGTGGTATTATATTGTAAAATGAAAGGTATGGAGTATCTGTATAACATAGCGATAAGGTGGATTCCAACAGTATGGAGTATACGGAGTATAATATACATACAACATAGATAGCGATATAGAATAGTACCGAGATATAGAATAGAGGGTAATATAAGCAAGGAGGAGCTCTAGACAACGCCCTGGATCTAATCAGAACCACCTTGAATTGAAACCAAATAATAGCGTTGACACCTTGCAACCCGCTGGATTCTCAATGGATATAATTAGCATCTCCGTATTCGTACGTCGCACTGGTTTGCTAGATGTCTTTGAACGTCGATGATATTGAATAGAACCGAGGGAGAGATTGAAAGACAATGTAACTATAACCATTAGAAATAGAATTAGTAGTAATCAAATGTAATCCTATAGAAGGAACTAAGACCCCCATAAATGAAACTCGCCGATCATTTCCGTATTCACGATACACGATAGATTTCCCCTTACAATACTACTACATACATATCCGGTACTATTTACATATAACTAGTCCCTGCAGGTGCTCACCAATAGTCTTGAAATGGGTCGAGAAACCCCTCCCAAGCCGACGATTTCATAGGTCCGAATGGGTCAAAGTGCGTAAGATCGACTCCATTCCCGCGTGTCAAACCAACGAAAGGGCTACCGCGGACTCAGTTGGGCTCCACCGGGCGTTTAAACGGCTGGCTTTCCCGCGTGAGAGGGCACGAGGGGTTAGCATGCATTGGGCTTTGGTTGTACAGGGTCAAGGGCCGATATTCCACTCATTTCCGAGCTTGCCGTATAGAAGATCGATTTAGACTTGGATGTCCAATATTGCAGAGGATCCCCCCATAATGTACTTAAAGGGATGCATGTATTTATAACACTGCGTCATTCTGGAACCCACACGGAGTGGATATCCCTTCTCCCCCACAGGTCAACTGCCAATTTCCAAAATAAATCTAGACTTCGTGTGACCAGAGACTTTTTAACGAGATTGTTTACACCCTGGGGACCAAGGTACCAGGTACCCGTGCAACTATAGAACCAAGCCCGAAGAGAAGATGTATAGAAGGTGTATAGAACAGATCATCGCAGGCAAATATAAAAGAAAAAAAAAAGCAAATGCCAAGTCACTTGTTTTTCAGGTAAAAAAACAAAAACAAGGCCCTTTTTCTGAGTTCCCTTTGGCCCTTTGGGCTCGTATTTTCTTTTTTTTCTGCCTTTCTCAATTTTCATTTCATTTCATTTCCTTTCTCCTTCCTCTTTCTCTTTCTCTCTCTTTCCCTCTCGTTGAACACTCAACTTCTTTCCTTTCCCCCTTCATACCCCCCATGGCGCCTGTGGCATCGCACTGACTCCCAGTCATTTTACTCGACTCTCCTTTCCACCCCCCATGAGTTTAGTTAGACTGTCGCGCCACCGAACCGATAACGATAACTAATCCCACTTGTCCCTGGGCAAGTGCCCCCAAAGTGCCATGGCGATATGGCCCTTTAATCGCAAGAGCAAGCGGCACACCATCCAAGTGACCGGTGCCGAAGCTGCTGACCTTCGCTCCGCCTTTGCTGATCCGATGATGGAGCCTACCCTGGGCCGCAAACCATCCAAACGCCATAGCAACCGCACGACACGGACGGATGCTGCAGACAGCCGGCGCAGCTCGGCCCTCGTGCCGTCGAATCGACCTATCTCATCGTTAGACCGCCCTGCTTCCATTGCCGATCATCCACGGAACGCGCCACGCGACCCTGCGATCTCGAGAACAGCTTCGCTGCTGAGGCGGAAGCCAAGCCAAAATGCAAATGCAAATGTCCCGAATAAGCTACGACGGAAGCTGAGCAAGCGGAAGGCAAATGAGATCATGCGCGAGCGTGAGATTCGTATGCTCTCGTCGACCCCTCCCATCGATATTCCCCATCGTCCGACTCTTAGCAGCGGGGACCATGTACTGGAAAGTCGCCGCCGAAAGGCAAATGGTAGACGTGCCGACCGGTACATGTCTGACATCAGCCTCAGCATCCGTGACTCCGCCTCCTCTAGGTCTGACATCTCTGACCCATACACCTATAAGGTCAACGCTTTTGCTGCCCTGACTCCACGCCCTGTTGTTCGTTACGTCGAAGCCCCTCGCCTCCAACCCGACAGAAGTACCAACCCGTCTGCTTCCAGCCGACATGACAAAGAGAGGCTCCAGGCCCTGAACATGTCCGAGGAAGATTTCTACTATTCCAAACGACGAGTAAATGAACTCGCTGATTCATTAGATGCTGGGGCTTTGAGAGAATTGCTTGACCGGGACCGTCGCCGCCGGGAGAAGAAGCAGGTCGTCGACCAGGAAAGACTTCGACGTAAGCTGCAGGAGAGGGCTGATGCTCAGCAAGCGGAGGAACGAAGACTCCAGGCCGCTGTTGAGGCCGCTACCGAGGCCGAAATTGCTCATCCCGAGCCTTTCGTCGCTGAGGTCACTGAACCCGAGGACGTTCTCCCGAACGAGGAAACCACCGCCCCTCAAGTTGATAAACCGACGGTCATCGCACCGGAGAATGAATCGTGGCTGCTGGGGGCTTCCAAGAGCAGTGAGCACACCGGACGCGAATCGCGGGAAAGTTCTCGCGTAGTTGACGATAGTTCTATTCGTGAACGGAGATTGGTTCAGCGTCCTAGTTTCGCCATGTCACATGACATCACCATGTCCCGAACTACTCTTTCCCCATCTCATTCATCAATTCGCCATGGGCTCAATTCCCCGAGCCATTCACAAGTCGGTGGACCCGGCTCCACATCGGACGTCTCAAGGGGGGTTGATTCAGAACGTCGACTTTCCGACACCAGCGGCCGCCGGGGGAATACCATTACTTCGCTGTTCAGACGTGGTTCTTCTCGTCTCAAGCGGACATACAAGGAGCGATTCCACGACACTACCCCTGAAGTTTCCAACGCCTCGCATGAATCTTTCTACAAGATTCAGACCCAATCATCCCCTCCTCAGCCCTCGGTCATCCCTCCGAGAATTCTAATGCCCACTGGAACCGTGAAGCGCTCTCAATCCAAGTTCACTGAACACTTCGGCGATGAACCACTGTCGCCTCCTGACTCGCGCCTACAGTCGCCAGATATCCCGGAGGAAGTGCTAGAGTCCTCTCTCGAGAATGACGCGACTTTCCTGCGTGAACCAAGCCCTAGTCCCGGTGTGGACATTAAAAACCCGAACCGAAGTCATCATCGGTCGTGGGCTTCAGATAGTATGGACCTCGAGGCCGATAATGTGCCACTTTCCCAATCTCTAGCTTCAATTGACTCCGAGGGATCTTGGATGTCAGGCCAGTTTTTCCGTCGCATGTCACAAAAGCCCAGCAGTCCTGTTCGATCCAATTTGACCTCATTTGGCCGAGACTCGGTAGAGGTCCCGGCAGATGCTTCCGAAGAAGTTGAATCACTGGATGAGTCCCACCGTCTTAGCACAAATATCCTTCGCGATCCAGAGTTCGAACCGGAAGCCTCTGACAGTCCGGCAAACATTGTCGCTGAAAAATGGCACAGTGAGGTCGGCCGCCGCCCTGTTCTAGTGAACCCAGTGGTCCGTCCCAAGTCTACACAAGGACTGCTCAGAGGGTTCTCTTCATTGACCCCCATCTCTGCAGAGGAAGATTACATTGTGGAAGAGACAACTCCTTCCGGGTTGCAGCGGATTCCCAGCGAGGAACTCAGGATTGGTTATGCCGAATAGACTGAGTATTAGTGATCACCATCGCCATTTAACAGCAGGATCTACCATTTATCATTACATCATCTGTGTCTTGTGTCATGGCGTGTTAGACGGGTACCACTATGCCCATCGACTATTGCCATGACTCAGATGCAGTCTGCCAGAGGTCGTTTGAACCTTCCCTTTGTACGCTCTTTTGTCACTTTCCTTTGTCAAAATATCCATCCGTGAGCCTTGGATTCATCCTCTGGCCATCTGTACGATTCTGATATCCCCATCGCCTTGTATCCATTTATTGCCCTTGCGAGTTCGTCATTCTCATTCGATTTGTTGATACCCCTCGTCGCCCCGTGTTTTATCTTTACCATATGCATAAATTCTTATTCCTTCCTATTCTTTCTGTCGAATACATAAGCTGATAAATCTTTATTCCCCCTCAAGCGCTTTTCTTCGTTGCACATAGTTGGCCGCTTCTGGCCCTTTTCTTTCATCGCTGATATTCCGACATTCTTTTGGGAATCTACTGATTTGAGGATCAAGCAGTGTTTCTTATGTTGATGAAAATGGTATTCTCGAGGTTTTCCTTATGTATTTCTATCACGGTCCACAGGCCTTTGTCCATGAGAAGAATAGGATTGAGCCTATTTTGGTCTATAGCGCCCTTGAAGTCTCTTTAATTCTCATTTTTCAGGAATAAAATATATGAGTTATGTCTCTCCGTTCTTTTTGGGTCCCAGTAAGCAACATCACCTAAGAACCGACAACCTGCTTCGCGTGGGTATGTAGGTATAATTTTTGTAGTTGTGCATATGCAGTGTGTAATTAGTTGCAGGCCCGGAAATGCTGACAGTTCCAGACTCCATCTTATTCGTAAGCAGCTCGAGGTCAGGAGCACGTCATCCCCTATCAGCTTCACTTCTCTTGGATCCCAGCGGCATCGATATCTGCAGGTACAAGAGAATACAACGAAAAGTACTGACAAATCCCACTATGGTAAGTCTCAATTGGGATCTTCTCAACCCTTGAATCATCCCAGTCAACCCCCCAGCAAGCTCCAGAGACTTCCGGACCTCCAGGACCCCCGGGGCCAGCTCCGATTTATTATTCAGCGCGGCCTTACCTAATCGCCTCTGCTGGGAACGTCATGGCCCTATAAAAACCCAGCGCCCCTCATTCTACCCCTCCAATCGAAATACTTATATCCACTCCAGTTCAAGCCTTCATCTCTTCGTTCTACCCCCAGAACCATCTCCGGACTTTCTTCGCTACTGAATCGATCGATTCCCGTCCAGCGCACCGCTTTCCGACCCTTCTCTTCAACACCTATCCCACGCTTCACGCCTTCTTCTCTCAAAATGGGTGTCACTGCTATCACCACGTAAGTGCCCAGCTTGACTCTCATACATACCCGTGGATCCTGGAAATATGTTCTACGCATTCATCCTGGTCCTTTCCATTTCGCAAAGTATGAAAACACCCTAGTTAACACTCCTCCTTCTTCTCCAGTGCCGAGGAATACAAGACCAAGGTCACTGATGCCACCGGCCTCGTTGTCGTCGACTTCCACGCCACCTGGTGCGGTCCCTGCAAGGCCATCGCTCCTACCCTCGAGAAGCTCAGCGATGCCCACACCAACGTCAAGTTCTACAAGGTCGACGTCGATGACCTCGCCGAGGTTGCTGCTGCCAACGCTGTCTCTGCCATGCCTACCTTCCGCTTCTACAAGAATGGTGAACTCAATCAGGAGGTCAAGGGTGCTAACCCCTCCGCCATCCAGGCTGGCCTCAAGGCTATCCTTGCATAGTTTCGGAAATTGAGATTCATTCTTGTTCATATCATTGATCTATGATCTTTTTTTTTTTTGGAGGGTTGGGTGAATTAATTGAATCCTGAATACGTACCGTTCCACAAAAGTCTGTGTCTATGATGTAGGCTATTCGTTTGCTTTTTCTTCTCAATCGGTTGTTTGACTTTGCTTGGAAGCTAGGTCGGCTATGCACTGTGCTTTACATGGTAAATATATGTACGTAATTGAAGAAAAGAGCTACCTGGAACTTGACTTTTGAATTAGAAAAAAGAAAGTGTCTGTCCTACAGCTTGCATGCAGCTTGCATGCAGCTTGACAATCAACCCGCAGTGAAATTCCCCGCAGTTTCTCTATATAACATCATTGGTGTTTATATATGCTGATCACTTGAGTCCGACCACGGTAGCGTTTCCTCCATTTCCATTTCAATATCAAAGTCTGATTGGTTCCAGATTTTGACATTTATAGATATATTTAAGACAAAAATAGCAGGCTGCTTATACTGCATTGTCCTATTTACTTGTTTTGTTTTTGTGGTTCTCAAGTTTTATAGGTAGACGGTAGAAAAAGCCGGAAAAATGCATAAATTATGCAAACAGAATTTCTGTGTACCCAAATAGCGTAAGTCAAATGAATGTGGATTTGGGATTCCGGAACATCCATCTCTGTACTCCGTAAATGAGTGAGGATATACTAGGTGTATAACAAGTTTACAAATATGACAAACAGCTATAGAAAAATGGTCAGTGTGTGAAAGAAAAACCAAGTTTGAACTTGAACTGCATGGCGCAGATGCAAACAACCGAGAGAAGGAGTTGTATCTGTAGGATAGGACGACAAACAATTCAATGGCTGTCTATATAAAGAGTGGTTGTAGCTTTTCCATCATCTCCCTTTCCATCATCCATGTCCATCCACCTCCTGCTTCCTTCAAGCCATGTCATCAAAGTCTTCAAGTACGGCGACCATGGTCAGTGAGATGAGTGACGAAGATGAGCGCCCCTCGGAGGCGTTTGAATCGGAGAACTTGTCATACCGCAATTACTACCCCTCAGAACATGATCAGACCTTCAATACTATTCAAGAGTATGCTTCTTCAGTCATCAATTTCTGCGCATCGTCCTCACGACCGATGGACCTCACATTCACCTCCAGGGTTGCGAAGCACCTTCAGAGAAACTCGGATTTGTTTGTGATGATTGAGTACTACGATGAATGCGACCCTCTCGGTACTCTTTTCTTAGAGTCATCTCATCGAGATATGGCCCACCATCGATGCGCCAAGCTGGGAATCGGCATGCTGAAGGAGTTCCAGCATTACGAAATTGAGGCAATCCAGTGGGCTTTGAACTGGGCTTTCAACAGAGCCGGCCTACATCGGGTGGAGATGAATATTCCATCGTGGAATATGCGACTGGGCAAGGTGTGCGATGAGGTTGGGTTTCAGATAGAGGGAAAAAGGCGGGAATGTTTTTTCAAGGATGGCGAGTGGCATGACGAAGTGAACATGTCCATGTTGAAGAAGGACTGGGTGCAACTCCGGGCCTAGACGAAGAGGTCGCCATACTGAAAGTGCGGTGGTACAATGGATACAATGCAGGATGCCTTCTATGATTCAATGACAAGTCTGACCTCGATTCAATTTTGACTTTTCTCATCAAGTAATTTCAGTAAGAGTAAGCGAGAGATAGTTTAAAGAGAGAACGTTGAAGAGACAGAACTGATGTATACCAAATCCTGCATAGGCGGCTTAACGTCTAGCTATCCCCGAAGCCACTATAAAGTCACTGTGCACAACCACGACAGTTTCTATTACCTATCATATTTATGCATCATAGCCACGCGATTGACAACTGACAGCAACCGTTCGTGACTTCGGTCCATTTGCCTCGATGGAGAATAGTAGATCCATCACACCCACTGAGCATGTCTGGAGTACCAAGGTTGCCATTTAGAACCTATCCACTACATATAAGAAAGCGGGCAAAGAGGCGTTCGACAGTCAAAGAGTGTCCAACCGAGCCGACGCGGAAAGCAGATCGATCAGATATTTTTGGCTGTGTTTGCATAAACCTGCTTTGACCTTGGTTCCTATGATTCATCGAGGGAAACGGAAAGAAAGATACGCCTTCAATCCGGGAATTAATTTACTTTGTATATGCACATCTTCAGGAAGGTGGGACTGCAGGCCCACTCTTTTTTTAATCTCCTTTTGATCTCTTTTCCTGTTCGGATTTCGCCGAGGCAAATTTTCTTGTGTTTTAATTGGCTGCTAGTCCTGCTATGATGCCTTTCATACAATATACTTTGAATTTGCAAGCCGTGCGATCCAGGGGCACATCCGATCGCCGGCTTGCTCTTATTTTGCTCTTGGTTTGAGGGTTCTCGGTGGCGTTCCCATTGTCCAAGGAGGCTAATGTGATCGATCAATATCTTTAATATGTTCCGACGAACGGTCGACTATGTACGGAGTACCGACCGAGCCTGGAGTATGTATATCACAATATTTAAGAGAGGTCCAAATGAACATCACAGTGGGCCCCGCTCTTCTCACATCTGGCAGCTGAGGTGCAGCTGAATTCGCTTATTAGCTCGGTCCACGGTTCCAACAATTAATCTAAATGGAAGCTCAAACCGCAGTGCCTGGGTAATTCTACGGAGCAGTAAATCTAGTTTCCATGGTTGATACAACCCCATTATCGGAGTTATATCAAACCCAGGCACGGAAAAGACATCCTGTAGATAAATAAAGACTAAGATCCGATGCCATTGGCGTTGTGTTAGGGCTCCGATACGCTCTGAAGCCACCCCACATAGCTCTTTATCCATACAGATCCGATCTAGATCTGCCCAAAGCGAACCAACACGGGACCAAGGCATCGGCTGCAATACCACATCCACCAAATCTAAAGCGGGCTTTGCGACCTTGGGATCTAATTTATTAGCATGAACTTATTCTACTAAAATCAGGCCTCGGCATTCCCTTTCTGGATTGTTTGCTTTGTTTTGGTGTATGCCACGCGAGTTGTGGGTTTAGGATAGGTTTAGGATATTACTTGCAGGCCAATGACCCTGTCGGTGGAGATCACGTCTAGATCGGACGGGGCTCGATCGTGGTACACGTCAGTTCATTTGTTACCGTGGACTAGAGGGGCGCTTGGGATGGCTAGTCTACCCTGGTCTACCCTGATGTTATAAGATGTTTACCTCGAGCCCTGTTCTACTGATTTGGACTTTGTGATATTTGATAACTTTTGTTTTGCTCTCCACACTGATACTAGGAAGCGATTTCCATGTCGTCTTGTTGATATTGATTAATACAGTCGCTTCCGACTATCTTACCCTACCCTCCAACTATACGTGCTACTTGCCAATGTGCCAATAACGAAAGACCAACACTTATTCTCTCTTTCTTTCACAATGTCGACGACAGACGATAAACCGGTCGTGCTTGTCACGTACCTGGCGGGGTACATAGTTCTTTCCTATGTGATCAGCGCAATGGGATGTGCAACCACACTGGAGCTGCTCCACCGGCGGACATCGAGGTCCGGTCTATACAATTGGTATGCCCTAAAACTCTACCCTACCAACTCCTGCACTTGAACATGTAACTAACCAAGGAAAATTAAAAGGTACCTTCTCCTAACCTCGTCGATCACAATGGGTGGTATTGGAATTTGGTGTATGCACTTCATCGGCAACCGCGCTATCGTCCTGGGCGACGGCCAGGCAGACGTGCAAGTCTTATATAACGTGGCTTTTACGGGTACCTCATTCGTGCTCCCCGTGGTAGTACTGCTATTTGCATTCTACGCTGTGGGCGTCGAAGAGAAGGCCGGCTATCTTCGCATCCTCATCGGAGGCTTGCTCACTGGTAGCTCTGTCTGCGGTATGCACTACATCGGTCAACTCGGAATCTCGAACTATAGATGCTCCTATCACGTCGCCAATGTCGTGGGCTCGGCGATCATTGCTATTTTCTCCAGTACTGCTGCCCTAGGCATCTTCTTCCGCTGGAGGGCTACCTGGACTGATAGCTGGTGGAGACGAGGAATCTGTGCTTGCTTATTGGCGGTTGCCGTCTCTGGCATGCATTGGACCGCGGCCGTTGGAACTGTCTACAAGGACCACAACCGCATGGTCATGAAGGGAACCCAGTTGTCGAGGAGTCAGGTTGTCATTGTCTGCACTGTTCTGGTATGCTTGCGATTGCTTTGAAGGTATGGGGGATTGGAAACTGACAGCTCTCTAGGCCTGTGTTGCATGTGTAGTGTTGTCGATGTGCGCTGTTATCGCTGGGCGAAATCGCAGAAAGTCGACGACTCGTGCCCATCAGCTGGTCCTTGCCTGTGCCTACTTTGATCCCACTGGACGAATCATGGTCACAACGCAGGCTCTGCTTCCTACGAGAAAGATTGTTGATCATTATATCGGACGGGTATGTCCCTGAGCCACCGGATACAGCAGAAGTCTTGACTAACGAATTACGAACTAGACATTCAAAGATGACGACCTCACCCGGACTCACCCTACGTTCCTGTGGGCATTTAGGGCAACTCGAAATTGGCCCGTTGTGAAAGATCTAGTACCCTTCATGCGAAACCGCCTTGATTCCGAAGAAAGTGCCATTGAGAAACACATGCTATCGCGCGGAGTGTTTATGGACAAGGATACGGAGTTGCAAACTGATTTTGATACCTTGTTCAAGCAACTCTTCTGTGTCACAGCCCAAGAGCTCTCGGATGAACTGAATCTGCCTCTCCAGGACCTAGGAACACTCTACGACGATGTTCTCTCTACTGCTATCCCCGTCTCCCGACTTTCTCGAGCCATGGGCCGCTCTTCGCTCCGCACTGGCAAGGGCCAATTGATGTTCACTGTTCGCCAGCTACAAAAACATGAAGCAGCACGCTTGAGGTCACAGGGATTCCGATTCGCAACCATCGAGCATATCACCGGAATGCTTTCCCGACGCATCCATGTTCCCGAAGCAAACCTAGCCAACTCCCTCCGCGATATGCGAGACTACGCAAGCTCGAATCGTGGCTTTGACGAGGGAGTACACCTCATATCCTTCATGATGCGCCCAACAATCCACGATCACTTCGAGATCCTCACCGCAAAGGGTGTCGGCAACCCCCTCCCATCCGCAACCCTCCCCATAAAACACCTCGAAATCCACCATCTAGAACTCATATCCCACATGGAAGGCTGGTCCATGGACACATGCATGCGATACCTCCAGTCAGCCAGCGCAGGGCAAGCCTTCCCCAACCTGGACGACTTCCGCGCCGAGTTCATCCAGGCCATCATTTCTCTCTCGAAAACCATCCCAGAAGACCTGCGCGCAGCAGCGCAACTTTCCACTCGCCCATTATCAGCCCCCTGCCGCAGCAGATCCCCCAACCCCGAAATAGCCGTACAGAAAACCTGCACCCTCATAACCTTCTGTGTCGTCGGCACGCTCGAAACTCAAGTCTCCAACCCAGACTACACCTTCACCCCCTTCCGTCTCTTCCGCGTCCAGCAACAGATAAACGAAGCCCTCACCGACCGTGACGATTTCGCCCGCGAACTAGGCGACGAACTCTTCTGCACAGACGTGCGCTCGGGATCGACCACCAGCGAGAGCCCTTCCACGGCTAAACTGGCCATCTTGCGTCTGTGGCCGTCACGCAAGCGCTCGGCGACCTTGAGCTCGCAATACTCCCAGGAGTCGTTTGCGGATCCTACTGCGACTGCGTTGCGGGATATCACTGTTCGCAGGGAGGTTCGCGTTGATTTTACCCACCTCCATGAGAAATCAAATCATAATGTCAGTGCCCGGGAAACAAAGGTGGTTGTTACCGGTGGTGGTGAGAATGCGCCTACGACTTATGTCGATGAGTTGTATAGTCTTTGCTATGCACCGGGTATCCGGATGAGACCTGATGCGTCGTTGCAAAATATTTCGCGTGGATCGACTGCATGCTGATGACTTTTCTTTATGGTTTGATTTCTTTTGCGTTATGGCTGGCGTGAGTTGGAATGTATACGGGAATTGGGACTGGTCTTTTATGATTTGTTATGTCTATGCTTTTCGTGGGATGGTTTAGGATTGTATATAATTTTCTCTTTCTGACGAGTATATAGATGATATCAATACAAACGCATGCATGTTTCATGTGTAATTTCAGCTTTTCCAAAGTCTTATTATCAATAAACAGCCAAAATAGTATTTGTCAACACATGAGATGAACTCTAGTAGGTCACAGAGAAAAAGCAGAATATCGTCACACATCAAGAATAGACTCGTTAACCAATACATGCAAGAGATGTCATGTACTCATTACTTCGCACCTGCCGAGAGCGAGTCAGGAACAAATGCAGTCTGAAAAGAAGCACTGGCCAATCAATTGAAGATCCTCCAATCCAATGCCCATACACTATAGAGCACAGATCCCACGGATCAGGCATCAATTAGCATTAGGATCCTCGCGCTCCAAGAACGAAGGATCTGCCTCAATGCGGCGCTCGAACTTCGCCCACCAATTCTGGAAGCTCTTCAGCGGCACGACATCCTGACCATTTTCATTCTCCGCAAAGCTAGCGAGGAAATTAAACGCGTTCCCAATAATGCGCTGCGCCAGCAGCTTCGTCGAGATCTGCTTCTGCGCCGGAGATTGCGAAACCAACGCCATAGACGTTCTACCCGATGGGCGCTCCGATTCCAGGGAGGCAAGCTGCGGCGCGATATTCTGCGCTTCTTCGATCGAAATGCCCAGTGTCATGACGCCCGTTACAGCAGTGTCCTCGTCGAGCATGTCATCTTCTTCCTCGGCTTCCGAGCGGCGGGGAGCACGACCTTGTGGACGCACGGTGAAGATGCCTGAGGGCTTTTCGTTTGCCAATGCGCCCACGAAGCGGAAGTCGGAGGGTTCGCCGGTGGTCGGGTCTGGGAGTTGGGCGTAGATTGCGGCGCCGGTGTTTGGTGGGAGGGTTGCTCCTGGTAGCATAAAGACAACTATGTCGCTGAGAGATGCACTGATTGGGATTGTGAAGGCAAATTTGGTTGCTTGCCCGTTCAAATGGCTGTCTACTGCAATGATGTCTGTTAGACACGGGCGGCCTGGGACCACGACGGAGAACATGATGTGTGGTGGTAGGGTTTGGACGAGCTGGAGGCAGCTTGAGTAGCTGGTAAAGCGGAAATTGGCAAGGTGAACTGCGATCAATATTACTTCCGTTCTTGAAGCTTCTTTAAGCTTCTCGATGATGAAATGACATAAGAGGGGCTGCCCTTATCGGCCGGTCGATAAGGGTTTGGCTTGGCTAAACAAAGGTCTGGTTCTCAGTATATCGACCTTCGACTTTTACTTTGCCATCGGGTTCAGCTTCTGTCTTTAGAAGTCATTATGGGCAAATCCAATTTAGACCTGGTCGGCGAATGCGATAAGTAAAGCTGTCCCAACTCGGTTTCTCTCAATTCGCGTTTTCTCTTACACCCCACCCCGCAGCTTCCCCTACTACGAGGATGATCGCGACGTCTACACGGAGAACCTGAAGAACTATCATGCATTCAAAGTCTCCGGATACGACTGTACACTCGGTTATATTCTCAATGCAGTCGTTGAGAAATTTCCCTGGTCGGAAAAGAGCTGGGCCATTGACTCGACTGCGCAGACCGTGACGCTAGTGACACCGGAGGGAGCCACCCCGGCACACCGGAGCAAGCTCGTCGCAGCAGACATAGCCGAAGCCGTGAAACAAAAAAAGTTCGAAGTGCTGCAAGGCTGGCGCAACGAGACCTACGCAGTCTACGGCCCGGGCGGAGAATTCCTACTCGAGATGGAGCGCGCTGCGACCCCACTCTTCGGCATCGTATCCTACGGCGCCCATCTTACGGGCTACGTTCAGGATGAATCCGGTATCAAGATCTGGGTCCCACGCCGCGCAAAGAACAAGCAGACCTACCCAAGCCTCCTTGATAACACCGTCGCCGGCGGTATGTGCACCGGCGAGACGCCGTTTGAGTGTATAGTCCGCGAAGCTATGGAAGAGGCATCCTTGCCCGAGTCGGTGGTGCGCGCTGCGACTGTCTCCGTGGGCTGTGTTACGTACTCACATGTACGGGATGTACGAGCGGGCGGCGAGACGGGCCTCATTCAGCCTGAGATTGAATATGTATACGAGCTCAGGCTTGACCCTGAAACTACCCCGAAACCTGGGGATAATGAGGTCGAGGAATTCAAGTTGTTGTCGATTCCGGAGGTGCAGGCGGCTTTGGCGCGCGGCGAGTTCAAGCCCAATTGTGCTAATATCATGATTGATTTCTTTGTGAGGCATGGGCTGCTGACGCCAGAGAATGAGCCGGATTTCTTGCAGATTGTTGCTAGATTGCATCGTCGCTTAGAATACCCGACTGCTTCGCATTGCGCAAGGTAGATTATTTGTTTGATTGCTTGAGACATGTGTCAGATAAGGCGAACTAAGATATATCAAATCAATTTCAATCGTGTGGGTTCCTTCCGCATTTGCACAGCCAAGGCAGTTATTTGCAAGACTATGAAATGATTCGATAGAAGCATGGTCACAACCGCACTGACATCGACTGTTGTAAGACGAAGAAGATGAAAATGAGCCGCCAAAGTCAGATCTGTTGGGTTTTTGAGTCCTGATCGCAAAGCCAGGAAAGGGATAGGCACTGTGCGGCTGCCAGAAATTACAGCTCTATGCAGACTCAGCCCGCCAGGAGACGCATTTTCATTATCGAACGGTCAATGTTCATCTCGTCGATCCCATGAAAATCATGATTGTTATGATAATCTATTGGTATTCCCAAATCAAAATGCAAAGAACGCCTGCGCTGCACCCCATAAGAACGATATGAACATCGGTCCGGCTTAAATACACCGACTTTTCCCCCATTCGGGCTTTGCCTCAAGATCAATCCAAGATCCATCTCATCCTATGCCAAGGTCGTAAGCAAAAAAAGAGAGTTCCAACAATCGTAAGCTTATTTCTTAAGCAGCAAGTACACGTGATCGATTCTCAACGGAGCAAGCTTTTTGTAAGGTCCTTCCAGGTAGAGCAGAAGACCTCCAAAGGACACAAAGACAGCCCTAGAAATGTAGACGTTAGTTTCCGCAAGAGCCAACACACCAGTAACGAAACTCACATGGTATCCTTAGTGGCACCCTCCTCGAAGCGGTACACCTTGCCGTGGCAAACATAATCGTAGTCATCCGCTAGGGTCTGATCACCCATGCTGACCTCCCTCCAGCTGGCGCGGGTGTCCTCCTTGCCGTCAAGAGAGAGAGTCGAGGCCAGAGCGAGGGACAGCGACTCGCCGACCGCGCATGGGTACAACTCAGTGTTCACATCCAGGGTAAAGGTGAGGGAAGCATCGTTCGAGTTGCAGGTAAGACGGGAGACGCGGTCATACTTCTGGGCGTTGATCGAGGTGATCGTGAAGGTGTCTTCGAAGAGGAGCGGGTCGGACATGATGAAGGTTGCGACCGCTGTGTTTTCGGTCTATGGATGGGGTTTTTGGTAGAGCGGGTTATGCGCAGATTATCGCACACAAATTATCGTAGGTTCAAAAGGCCACAATGGCTAGTTGGTGGTCCAAGAGTGGTGAAGAGAAGAGTTGGAGTCGGAGATGGAGAGGTTGATCGGAGAATTGAAGCTTTTTTTTTCTGCCGCCATTTGGTCCCGCCGATAACGATTTCGTTGGTTTGACATCAGCTCGTTATAGCTCTACTAGATTTCTTCCCTAGATTGAACTTATCCGCCATGTCCTTTCGCAAGCGAAACATAAGTCTTTCTCCTGGAGTTGACCGCAACGCTGTTCCCAATGCTACTGCACACCCCGCTGCGCCAGTTAGCACGCCAGGCATTCGCCCTTCCCCCGATGATGGACGGCCAACAACATCGACAGGGACTCGCTCTCTAGATAATCTTCTTGCAGGCCATGCAGGGCTTCCAATGGGGAAAATTTTGTTGGTTGAAGAAAACGGAACTACGGATTTTGCGGGCGCATTGCTGCGTTACTATGCGGCTGAGGGCGTAATCCAAGAGCAGAAGGTTCATGTGATTGGAGTGCCAGAACAATGGGGCCGAAGCTTGCCTGGTCTGATCGGCTCGGTGGAGTCCCTGGACGAGAAGAGATCCGACAGGCGCAAGGATGATCGTATGAAAATTGCATGGCGATACGAGCGATTGGGCGAGTTTGGAGCAGTCGCTGGTTCGCGGGATGGTGAGTATTGGAACAAAACATTGCTTCTAGCTTCAATATGCTGATCAATATAGCCCCTAATAATCACGGGGAACAAGATGCAGCAGCAAAAGAAGCACCCGCTTTCTGTCATGCCTTCGATCTCACGAAACGTCTCACCCATCCGTCTATCACAAACATGTCCTTCATCCCACTTATGCCCTCAAGAGAGTCACCATTCCTCGCTATCCTTAAACGACTCCAGACCGAAATCACGTCCAGCGCCAATACAATCCACCGTATCGTCATTCCTTCTCTGCTCAACCCCACAATTTACCCGCCGAACGCCTGCCAACCCGAACATGTACTCCAGTTCTTCCACGCCCTAAAGGCGCTGATGAGTGCGCACGGCACCCGCGTGACCGCAATGATCACCATGCCTCTGTCTCTCTACCCCCGCTCATCCGGGCTGGTTCGCTGGATCGAACTACTCAGCGATGGCGTCATTGAGCTCTGTCCCTTCCCGCACTCTGCGGATGCCATGGCTACCTCGGGAGCGGCGACCTCACAAGAAGAGCCACCGCAGGGTATGCTTAAGACACATCGTCTTCCAGTATTGCATGAGCGTGGGGGTGGAAGTGACCAGAATGTTGGACAGGATTGGGCGTTTATTCTGAGCCGCCGGCGATTCGAGATTAAACCGTTCAGTCTGCCACCGGCGGAAGGAGACACAGAAGCGCAAGATGCGTCGGCTCCAGGCGGAATGCCCAAGAAATCTGATCTCGAATTCTGAGACTCTTTATGATTGGTGTGATTCCCTAGACTCAATCGTCCTCCTCGAAGCGTCGTTGGGTCCCTGGTTCTGCTAGCATATCGTCCATCTCGATCTGCTCGGACATAGCAGGACCAGAGTTGGCCATTGTGCGGAGATAGCTCGCTCCATATCCGTCCAATACTGGTCGCACGGAACGGAGGCGATTCCCCAAGCAGGATGAAGCTGCAAGCCATGCTGTTCGTGTTAGTAATGCGATCGGGAGTAAGAAAGGATGCTGCGCGATACTGACCAACAAAGAGTATCAGGGGTGCAAAGAATACCAGGAATATCAGCAGTAAAAAACCCATGATGCCTTAGTATAGAACAAAATACTCAACGAATGCCAATGAAGATGATGATAAACACGACAGCGATGCTCAGCAGTTCGCTTGCCAAGATGACTATTCCTAAAGTGGACTAGTGTGTAAACTGGGCTTTTCCTTTTCTTTTTTTTTTTGGGCGTTCGTTTCTTCTCTCCTTCAATCAACCCTGGCTTTGCTGGTCAAACCCAAAGACAACTCCGGGAGTTTGATCATGTTCTCGACACTTTGTTAATTCTCTAATGGTAAGCTTCATCCTCGTCTCTCCCACACCCCCAACTCGCATGATTATTTAACTACAATCTGTCAATCCCCTGAAGCTCTTTGATACGTCACTGAGTGCTTGCTGAGAAACGTACTGGAAAATGAATCGCGATACCCCAATTTACCTTGCTGGCAACCTGTATCTTTACATATTGGACAAGCGCTAACTGTCCTTGCCACAGAATCATTGAAAATTTTTCCACAAATCTCAAATCAGAAAGAAAAAAATATGGATTTCCAACCAGACCTTCCTATCCCGATCTCCTATGTATCCGGTAGATACCTGTTGTTCTCAATTGACGCCGTGACATACCTGCGACGTGAGCATCACATATGCGGTGTGCTCATTGGGACGCTGCCTCAGATCCCTCAGCAGAATGTCTTCCTGGGTCTCCCTCTGCAGCTGATGCCAGAAGAGGCACGGCTCTTAGTGGATAAGGGTGTAGCTTGCATCGTAGACGAAGCCAAGGCACACGACGGCATGAACACCCTCTTAGAAGAGGATCGCAGACGGTACCTCCGCGACCTCGAATCTCAAGGCCAGCATATCTCGCGCATCCAATTGGATCGCAAAGAGCGCAACCGGGAGCAGACATTGAAAAAATTAGAAGAAAAGAAAGCAAAGGCGAAGGCTAAAGCCAGTGCTGCTGCCGCCCAGACACCTACGGTTCCTGAGGTCACTTCCACCCCGTCGCCGAAGAACGCTGCTATCGTTGACCTCTTCAACGCAGAGGATCGCCCATCGTCTCCATCGACCGCCTCGACGAGCACACTTCCTCAGAGCGCAACGGTCATTACCCCGGCAACATCTTACCCGCCCCTTCTCACGCCTCCACCATCGAGCCATCTTCCAGCACCCGCGGTGCCACCCTCCTATCCTCTCTTCGCCCACCTCCACTCCAAAGGATACTTTCTCTCCCCCGGCCTGCGCTTCGGGTGCCAGTACACGGCTTACCCGGGTGATCCGTTGCGCTTCCACTCGCACTTCCTCGTGGTGTCCTACGACTGGGACCAACATATTGATCTGATGGATCTCGTTGTCGGCGGCAGATTGGGCACTGGTGTGAAGAAGGGCTTCTTGATCGGCGGAGCACAGAAAGGAATCGATGAGGTGGATTCGGAGGCTGATCGTGTGGGTACTGTGCGGGCTTTCAGTCTTGAATGGGCTGGAATGTGAGGGATGAAGGACGTGAAGGGTTTCATACCCTTCATTTGTTTTTATTTCCCATCTACCAGGCTTGTGGGTTTGGTTTTTCCTTGCAAGGATTCCATGGCTCATGCGCCACGCTGCCGGGTCGTCCTTGCCTGTCCCCGGGTACCTGGAACCAGGTGCCCGAATTTCTACTGTACCTGGTCTCATTGAGCCCAGGGAAGAAATACGTCTATTGGCGATTTGGACCATCACCGAGCATAAAGATACAGATGGTATCCTCACTCCAAAGGAGGTCTACCATGACTCCGCCTTCTAGCGACTCAGGTCGGAGGCTTGGAAAGGCAAACAGTACGTGGTTAAGAAGGGTCGTCAAGTCTCTGGTCAAACCATACGTTGCCCGACTCAAATTAGCATGTCATATGATCACGATCACAAAAAAATGTTCATCGAATGACGTCTACACTTTACAGTGATTTTCTGGTAAATCTGTAGTATCATGTCACAGTTATGAATGATATGCTTCGCCTGTTGAAGACAACTAGCCAACCCATCGGGGATAAAGGGTATTCCACCATGACCAAAATCATTCCAATTGACCGTCTTTTCGGGTCACTTCATAGATTCGAGCTGAAACCTCGTGTTCGGTGCTCTTTCCTTTGTCTGAATTATGTATGCCTTTCCGCGTTTGGGTGCCACATTGCGCACTGTAATATCATGCAGTAGACATGATGAAAGAAGAACGAGTCTAACTTCATAGAACACCGGCATGCCTCCTCAGATTATGACTGTGAAGCTCGAATCTCAAAGACTCTCAGCAGTATCAGCTTTTATGGCAGGAGCGCACCTGCGCCGCTCGAGTCCGCTTCACAGCTAAGCAGTCAATTCTGTCGGTAGTAAATTGGGAAGAACCGTAGAATGGCCACCGTCTCAAATGTAATCGATGTTCCTCCACTTGAATTTCTTATTGGCTCTGTCCACAGGACGATTCTCGAACTGGTTTCCATGCAGCTCGAAAACCAACGGCATAGGAGCTTTTACATCAGACTGAGTCTGCTGATCCTTCGCGCCCTCGGACGGCGTTGGCACAGGCACTGTGAACCGGAAGATAGTGTGCTCCTTCGGTATAGCTGTAGAAACAAAACAAAGTCAGCATGATCCCAGTATCGCACCTCCCACTCCAAAAATCAAACTCACTCTTCATCTCGTCCTTTTCGGTGACAATGACGAACGTAAACTTCGTATCCCGCACCACAATCCCCTTAGCACCAACCCTCCCAGTACATCGACTCCTGACAACCTCGACCGCAGCCCCATGGTAATCCGCACTGACAAGCTTGCTTCCATGAGACGCCGGCGAAACATGGCCATGTGGTCCAGCCTTCACATCCAGGATCTCCTGCATATACCCGACCCACAGCTCATGTAGGCCCTTGAAGATGGCGTATTTGCATTCTTCCTTGGGTAGGTTGTACAGTCCTGACTTGCGCTTTTCGCGCGCTGACAGCGGTTGTGGCTTCTGGTGTCGGAGAAAGTATTCTTTCTTGCGTAGACGCTCGAGACGACGCCGGGAGCGGTTATCGGATGCTGAGGGGGAGGTTGCGCGGAGGAAGAGTGGTTTCTGTTTGATGCGCTCGGTGAATTGTTGCGTTGCGCTGTCTGGGGAGTGGGCGCGTGAGAGAAGGGTGTGCGCGATGTGGGTCTTGGGGGCTGGGGAAGAAGCCATTTTGTGTTATCTTGGATGTGTGGCTCCAGGGGATGCGAAGGTGTGGTTGTTGGAGGTTGGAGAAAAATTATTTGATGTCACACACCGATAAGATAACGCAGGTCATGTATAGTTCGAAGGTATGGAAGGTATAAACAACCACTTTATTCACATTATTAGAATGATTCAAGTCTATTTTCTATAAGATTATCCTCGGATATTGGAATATTTCAGTGATTAGGTTTCGGACGTCCCTCGGCTCATTGATGCTTCCCCGCATAAATCATCTTTGAGGTGATATATATCTCACGCATTAAAATGACACAATACCTGCAACAACCTATTGAGATAATTATTGTCTAATATTGACTCCTTCAAATCTGCTTACATCAACATGCAGTCTCAGATCGATCAAAAGGACATCCCCAGCAACTTCCCGGGGATTCCAGCCTTCCCAGATGACGTCTCTACAGCACCCCTTCTTCGACTATCGTCGGGAAAGCTGTTAGCAGGTGACCATACTGAGCAAGAGAGACTGTTTCAAGCATCTACAGACATTGGGTTCTTTTATCTCGATTTATCAGACTCAAAGAGAGGCTTATCACTCCTCGGCGATGCAGACAATCTGTTCCAAGTTGGCAAGAGACTATTTGAGCTGAGTCTCGAGGAGAAAAAACAGTATGATTTCAGCGCACAGAATTCTTACTTTGGTTACAAAGCGCAGGGAGCTATGGTGGTTGACAAGCAGGGGAATCCGGACCGGAACGAGTTCTACAATGTACGTCAGCACCGAACACACCCACCTGGACGTTCACGGTAGCTGACACAACTATCCATAGGTTTCCAAAGACGATATTTTGGGAGTCAGTGATCCGCTACCCGCTCCAGAGACCCTGCATAAAAGCCGAGCTCGATTGGAATCATTCATGCAAGGCTCACATGCAATCGTAACCCTAATTCTGGACATCCTGAACGATAAACTTGCCCTACCAAAGAACACACTATCCAATATGCACCGACTGCGAACTGTAAGCGGTGACCAGGTCCGATTTATCAAAGCCCCTCCACAGCCATTAGACGACAGACGTACCGCGCTAGGCCAGCATACCGACTTTGGAAGCGTGACGGTGCTTTTCAACCGACTGGGAGGACTACAAGTGCTACCGCCCGGTGCCGATGCCGAATGGGTTTATGTCAGACCGCTTCCTGGTCATGCTATTGTCAACCTCGGGGATGCAATGGTCAAGTTTACGAATGGGCTGTTTCGGTCTAACATTCACCGGGTCGTGGCGCCACCGGGGCTCCAGGCTGAGTCGACGCGGTACAGTCTCGTGTACTTTGCACGTCCCGAGGATAGTGTGATGTTGCGTCGGTTGGAGGAATCTGATCGGATTCCTGTTATGGAGGATGGTCAGACTGAAGAGGTGATCAATAGCAAGGACTGGATTATTCGGCGGGCTCTGGGTCGTCGGGTGGACCGTGTTGATGATCTTGACTATGAGAAGTCTGCAGGGACGGAGCAGCTGAGTCGGAGGATCAAGGCTTAGCATTGTTCTAGGTTGTTTTGAGAATAGTGTGAAGCTTGAAATAGATTACGCTTTGCAAGTAATACGTCAATCTCGGCACTTGAAAAAAGGGGATAGCCATGTGATGTATAGCCATGGGAGAGAGCCAGTCTAATCATTCGATGGTCTTACAACTATACGAAAACGGCGAGGCCTATGACTTCGCCCTCACGTTTTCTCAATCGGGAAGGTACACTATCGTGAGTATTGTTTCCCCTTGAAAATATGTAACACCCCTGAAATTCATCAATCGTACCCGTGGACGTCAATATATATTACCGATAAAAAAAAGCTTAAACGATAGGTCTGACCAGGGGCAAAGCCGAATCCACCAAGCCCAAGAGATACTACGGAGCATACTACACTACTTTAGGAAGGAGATTCTACTCTAAATCAGCCTTCTGAGCTATGAAGACAAAGTTTAAGTAGATTAAGGAAAATATACCCTTCGAACGGGCGGTTAGAATCTCACCAAGACTTGACAGCTCCGATTCTTGAATCCGACACTTTGGTAAAGATAATCCAGTTCGGTGGGGAGAATCTAGATTCCGAAAACCCTTCGTGTCTCAGCGATACGTGCATTGGTAGAAACAAAAGCGTATGGAGTATTCCGTATCCCTCTTCGATATCAGCTGATGTGCAATGCGACACATTATACCCCGTATATTATTCTAGAATACGATAGTTATACGATGTACTCCGTACCCCGTAGTGCAATCCAACATGGGCATTGACGTGTCAGGATCTAGATGTAGTAAATGATCTAACCCCATTGAATTGGCTACATATTGACATAAGGCTGGCACTCGGCAAACCTGCACTCTCCGACATGACAGCCTGTTCTCATATCTGTCGATCACAGGACCTCACATTTAATCGCTCATATACGAAGTACCCGGAACAGCAGTGATGCAGTGACAGCGGGTCAATATTTTTTTTTGCCTCGCGTCTCGACCAGCTGGCGCTTTTTCAGCTACGGAGTAGAGCACAGAAGACCAAAATAGCTTCTTGATTGAGTTAGTTGACCGTTAAGATGGATCCCCGGCCACACTACGAATCACATTGTGAGCGAAAAAAAGGGCCCCCGCTCAATTTCCGGCGCTCTGGACCTGGGTTGTCCACCCTTACTCCGAACCGCCCACTTTAGTTACCCCCTGACTTGTTAGCTTTGTCCTCTGTGCATATTAGGTACTCCGTACTTTTGACTAGACCCTCAGTACGGAGTAAAGTACGGAGTACGGAGTAGACGGTGTCCAGACCTCGGGATTTGATAAAATAAACGACCCAACAATCTGGATATTCTGCAATAATGCGTTATGACAGCGGGTGACCCTTCCGTCTCCGGGCTTTCGGGTTTATGCCCTGTCGAATCCTTCCCTGCAGTAGTCTACATATGTTGTACTCGGCTACTGGTAATTACAAACGAGGGATCTCTAGAACTAGACAGGCATAGGTAAGATAGGTGACAGGGGTATGGTACTTTTGTTAAGGAAAAAGCAAAAACATATTGTATAGATCTTGAACCGAGCCATTTAAAGATGTCTGAATGAGCAAGCTTCTCCGTGTCCTTAAACGACATCAATTAAAACACGATCCACCAACATTCCTCGAGACCACAACAGGAAATCCACCGAACTCAAAGCCCCAGAAATCGGGAGAGAAAGGGCTATGGGTGACTTCTCCGCGCCAATAACTAATGCCCTATACGCCGTCGTCTTCGACCCACCGCACGGAGTACTCCGTACATTATTACGGCCTGACTCCGTTCTAAATTATTGATATTTTACAACCATACATCGCACGGAGTACCAGCTATGTGGTAATCTCCGTCAAAGCTATGCACCCTCAACTGGATCCATTGTTTCAATATAAAAATAATAAAAAGGCTCGGACCGTTCGAACGGAACCACACGGGCTGTGTTGCCCATCTGCCCATCTACCCACCCTGCCCAAGTCCCCAAATCTTACTGTACCGAGGTTTCATGGTACGATGTATGTTGTCCTCGGCCGAAAGCGCCCTTCCATCTGAGGTGCGTCTACGGAAGAGTTCCGGTTTGTGCTCAGCTTCTGTGGCGTCGTGGCACCCACATCATTTGACAAGACCCCGTAAAGATCGGGGAAATATGCCTCTAGAATGGATTTGGAATCATCCAAATGGGCGCCAGATAAACGGTAGAAGGCAGAAAGACACGATGTACGATGTACGATGTACTAAACGAGGCAATTACACATGCATATCCCCACTGTGTGGCATGACGTAGGAAATTACTAATGTGGACCAGTCCGGTGAATTAGGAATAAACGCCGTTGGGAGATGCGGGTCGGTTGGTGCAGCGGTCCTCTTTGGGGGCTTTCTGTACTTAAGCTATTGCGTCTGGCTATCCGAGGAAATGGAAACTGGGTCTGTAGTCTGGTTTAGTCCCTGTTGGGGATTCCCGCCGAGTTTCATGTTCCGACATGCGCAAATCAAGCCATACGTTTATATGCTTACAACGTACTCCGTAGTGGATGATGGTGTGTTGTATACGATATGCACGTCCGCCCCCGGCCGTCATGGAAATGTACACATCATCGGGATTCGTACGGGTGCGCACGCGCAGGCATGTGTAGTAGAACGAGGCGTTGGGAATTCCCTGGAGCTGATCTCGATTGGAGATATAGTCGGTTTGAATGTATAGAAGTTAATGCCATACTATATATGTATGTTATATGGCATATAAAAATAAGCATGCTATCGGGATGAATCGAGTTGAAAGCAGTACGAATAACGCAAGAGAAACCAGTGGCAGATATCATAAAGGATTGTAATGGTCGGTTGTAAAGAGAAATCGAGTAGACAGCGTCGTATGTTCCAAGCTCAAGCTGCTGATTCAGCAACGTCTGGTGTTCGTTCAAGCGCCATAGCTGCTAGCTTCTCTTCAAGACTTTTGAGAACCTCCGGGCTTGTTTCTGGTTTCACCCTTTTAGGTCTGAAAGAAAGAAATTGAATGTTAGCAAGAAAATCCTATACCACATGTTGTAGGGTTGAGACACGTACGGAATTCGTATAGTTTCATCACACTTCGCCTGACCACAATTCAAACATGTTTTTGCATTACCCTGGAACCAAGTCTCACAAACATGACACTGATAATGGACTCTGCGACGAGGCTTCTTGAACGTGCGCTCGGGTCTAGGCTTGGGCGGATCAGCATCGCCCGGATATCCATCGGGATATTTATCGAGTTTGGCCGGGTCTCGCGGGCATATCTTGCAGCGCACATGGCTGCAACTCGGGCATTCCTTGGTGCCGGGGGTAAAGAGCGAGGCGCAGAGGTGACAGTTCCGACGGACCCGCTGGCGCACCGGCCGACGGACGAAATCCGGACCGCCGGTGGGCGACGGCATCTTGAGCGAAATTTCCCGGGTGGTGCTGAGCTTGAGGTGCGTGGTCCTGGGGAACAGATGGGGTGAATGGGCGTATGTCTCCGGGTTCTTGGACTTGCGGGTTGTCGGCTCGCTATCCTTGCTATCCTTGTTGCGGGCGGATGGGTGTCGGGGGCACTTTGTGCAGCGGGTGTGCTGGCAGTTGACGCATACTTTCTCTGCGCCGAAGGTGGTTTCGCAGCGGTGGCAGGTACGGCGCACTCGCATGCGGATTGGCTTCGTTACACGGGTTAGCTGGAGGTCGGGGGGTGCGTTCCAGTCGCTGGTGTCGACGGTCAGGCCATATTTGGCGAAGAGGCTGCGCGCCTTTTCCTGTTGAGTTCTGCTGTAGCTGGTGAACATGACCGGTCCTGATGGGCTGGGCTCTTGGGCTGGTGCCGGTGCCGGTGCTGGTGTTGCTGCTGGTACTGATGCCGGTGCCGGTGATGTTGCCTCCGGTGCACTATATTTAGTCAAGACTAGTCAGCATAGTGTTGAAGTAGAATAATGTCGTATATCGTACGTGGTTTCGGCTTGAGTGGCTACCCCAGGAGTGATAGATTGTCGTTTGGACATTGACCGAGGACGGAGGACGGTCTTCATACGCTTAAGGTATTTCGAAAAGCCCTCGGGCTTGTCTTCAGGGCGGTCATGTTGAGACATGGTTCAATTGAAGAAATGGTGATATCCAGAGTGTGGGAACTCATTCCATACGAAATATGTCCAGTGTGAAGGATGTCAGAGTGGACTGATGGTAAGATCCAAAAGTTGGCAGGGAAAAGTAGGGGCAACCCAATTATTATAGAGAAGGAATCAGGAATCAGACTATAATACAAGAGTATTGTATAACAATTGTATAAAAAAAGGCCCAAAGCTCAGACGTGGGGATTCCGATACTGTGGTTCTGTGGATTCGGATGGTTTGGGATGCTATTGAATATTCGATGTTTTATTTTATTTCACTTCCTCTGCTTGAAAATGCATTTAAAGGCTTTATTTTATATTTTATTGGGTTTTTCTTCGGGTTTTCATAGGTACAAAGGAGGAGTACTATTTCTCCGGTCACAATTGGCAGATACTTAGGCGAAGGTGTTTCTCCATACTAACCACTATAGGGAGATACCGAGGACCAAGTACCGATGACCAGGTAAGCCCTGGTAACTCCGACGTCTCCTATTTAGTCTCTGATGTGCATCCCCACTCTTCCTCCTCCAACCCGGTGCCACTTCGACGAGAAAAGGCTTTGGTCTCGAAACTCTGTGGCTTCAGGAGATTATCTCCATAAGTCATATCCGAGAATAGCGTGCCATTTCGCTGGTCTTCCGGCACATCAGACATGGGGCCCCCTGTCTCTTGGCACGCCATTGGTTCCTCTGCTTTCCCGTCTTGGACTGGCCTATCTTCACACTGGTTGACGTTTATGTTTCGTCAGGCTCCGTACAAAAGTACGTACTCCGTACAAAGTACACTCCTGTCGCCTTCCACGGCGGTCAACCGATGGCGTGGCATACAATAGTATTTTGGAGCCAAAGGGTGGGCCGGGGGACCGGGAAGGAGTGGTATCTGTGCTCCAGCTGGCCTCCCTACGGCAGCACCCGCCATCCCGGCTGCCTTTCCAGAAACAGCTAACTTGCTGGTCTATCAGTGGAAGCGGATCGGGGAAGAAATAGTTGAGGGGCACACAGGTGATGAGCGTGCCTTCAATCTCTTCGTTATTGCGGTCGATCAGGAGGTTTGCGAGAATTGAATTCCTTTCCCTTACAACGGGAATTGAACTGCCGGGGAGGTGCCGAGCGGATAGAGTTTTCTCTACACGGTCTTTGTGTACTTTGTATAGTAATTGTACGATGTAGTTACATCGTACAACATACAACAATGCATTGTTACTGGTTGGAGATAAATACTCCGCACCTAGATACTCGGTATATGTAACCCATTGTTCTATTGATCTACAGGTAGTGCTCTTTATAGTGCTGACTGGATTATTGGTTTCTGGGACTGTGAAGAAGTCTATGCAGAATCCAGAAGCCCATGCAGAATCTCTCTAGCATCGAAGGGTGGCGAAAGAAAGAACCTTTGACACACGGGCATATCTCCGACGATTGGATCAGAAGAGGCCATGCATGATGCATGACACGGGGATCCCAAAGGGCAAAGTAAAAGTATAAATACGAGCAGTTCGTCGATTTACGACGCACTCCGCGATGAAATCCAATAGCGATCAAATAAAAAGGAAAAGTGCTAGATATGAGGGTATGCACGACGTCTTCAAATGTAACTCAACTGTTGATCACCCCTTTTTGGAATTTTGAGGCGATTGTCCTCAGCCATGTCATTTTTGAATACCGCAATGAAAATTATTCTACAACCCAAGGTGGGAAACACGAGATTATACTACAATATTTTTCCTACAAAATTAGTAGAGCCAGCCCCCTGGGAAATAAAAGGGCAAATGATTAAGGAAATAATTTCGCTTAGTGGGCTTGAGGGACGGGTGAGAGTGGAGGTCGGATGGTCCCAGTGCCCTGGTGCTGTACGGAGTATAGCCGTAAAGTATGTACTGGCTAATCTTCCAAGTTGGATAAGATATTGATGCTAATATTACTTGTTATATATGTAGTCTGGATGTAATGGCGTATCTGACTACGTTGTGCCTGAAAAGGGGAAAACAACTATTGTCGATTCGCTAAGATAAAAGTGGACAAGGGAGAGAGAGAGAGGAAGAGGGAGCCGAACTATCTGATGGTGATCTGGGTCTATATGGGTGACCGCCTTCTGGTCACCTAATATCCCCCCTATAGATCTCATATCTCCTATTTTGAAAATGATGATCTTAAAATGTTATAATTATGGTAGTCGTAAAAACCCTAAATTTTCCTTTGAATTAAGTTATCCCGATAAGCTTTAAGAAAGCTCGGAATTGCTCTTTAGGAAGCGCCTTCGTAAACCTATCCGCCGCATTCTGCTTTATATTAACCCTTAGGATATTTATATATCCTTAGGCCACAGCGTCCTTTATAAAGAACTATTAGAGTGCCAGCTATCTGGTAGTAGACTTACCTCCCTTCTTATTAGTAGTAACTATAAGTTGATATTATTAGTATAGATAACTGTAGGATCGGGTCTTAGTAGGCTTAGTAAGTCTATAACCTTAGTAAGCTATATAGTATCCTGGGCTAGCTGGTCGAGTATATACTATTCTACTATTATTATAGAGTTCGCTATAATCGTCTACTTTTTAGTAGACTAAGCTACTAGGATTCCTATAAAGAACTAGATATATCCTTTAGTTAATTTAGAGTCTATCTAGTCTATATATAATATATCTATAAATACTATAAATTATAGTTTATCTAACTTTCTAAAGATTAGTCCTATCTTAGGGTTATATTTAAGGTACTTAACGATATATCTTATTACCTTAAGATTAGAAAAAGTCGGTATTACTAGTCTATATTATAGGTATATAATAGTAAATCTAATATCTAGTCTTATCTTAATAGTAAGTTAGTTAAGTATCTCTACTACTATCTAGTAGTATTCGAAGTTCTTATTATTAAGTAGATTAGAGTTAATATCTTCTAGGTTAGACTCTTTCTATCCTAGTAGTAGTGGTATTTCTTTTGTTCCTATAGTATCTATAATATATAGAATCTTTTATATATAGGCTTCTTAAGATATAATAATTATTCTAGCGTTATAATCTCTATTAAGTATATAGTTAAGATACTACTTTAGTTCTCCTAGGTTTTTTATATTATAATATTTCTTAAGTTACTTTATAACTAAGTCTATCTCTCTAGAAGTAGGTATAGTAATAATAAAGTTATCGATATAGATTATTATAATTATTAGATCTATATAGTTCTTTCCTATCTTAATATAGATATATAGGTTATCCTTAAGGGGTCTAAAGCTAGTTTATTAAAGCTTATAGTCTATCTCCTTATTCTAGAGGAAGGTAGAGTCTTATAAGCTAAAAAGAGCCTAGTTAAGTATATATATCTATTACTTTAAATTTCCTTCTATATCTATAAACTCGAAATCTATTAACTATCTTATATATACTATCTCTATATCTTCTCTTAATATATTAAGGTAAGCTACTATAAAATCTACTTAATACTATTTAAGGCTGTAGACTATAATAAGTATTAAGATAATTTTAATTATTATTTCTAATATAACTAGTATATAAGACTTACTTAAGTTATCGCTTTTCTCCTAGAAATTACTATAGATAACCTATCTTACCTTAAAGCTATAGACTTTATCTCTTATATTTATCTTAACTATAAAATACTATTATCTTAGAAGGACTTTTACTTTTAGTAGTTTTAGGATTAATATCTATATTCTCTTTATAGTAAGGTTATTAAGCTATTTTTCTATTACTTCCTTCTATTTATTCTAGAAAGGTAATTTTTATACTTATTTAAAACTTAATAGTAGGTCGATATCCTTATTATAAAGAGGTTTTCTATTATAGATAAAAGGTATATCTATATCTACCTAATTAGAGTTATCTAAAGAAAGTTTCTTTATATTTCCTTCTTAAGAAGTAATATATTTTTCTATATACCTAGTATCTCTCTTTTACTTCTTATATTCGATATTTAGGAGTTTTTATTTAGGATCCTAATATCTTTCTAGTAGGATACTAATATTACTCCTTTTTAATCTCCTAGCTAAAGGTTCTTAAATTTAAGTTAATACTACTATTACCGGTTCTACGGTAGGTATAATAGGAGTAATCTTCTCCTATATCTATATTAGTTATATAGTATACTAAGGTACTTTATAAGTACCCTATAGTAATATTTATTATATAGTAGTTTCTTATAAACTATATTCTAGAGTCTATTAAGTTAGTAAAGAGAAAGGATACTAGTACTCTATCCTTATCTATTCTAGGGATAGAGTATCTTCCCTTAGGGTTAACTCTTATATAGAGCTAGTTTCCCTGATTAAGTCCTATTTAATTAAGTCTATATACTAGTATACTTCTAATATATCTATCTCTTCTATATTAATTCTAGCTATAAGTTCCTTAAGTCTTCTCTAGAAATTAGCTTTCCTTTCTATTAGCTTCTCTATTATTATTATTTACTCTATCTAAGGGGTTATATTCTTACTATAAATAGCCTATATCTCTTCTTAAATTAGAGTAAGAGTCTAGTTAACTCTTTATACTATTAACTGTTCTATATTTATAGGAATTAGTATCCCTTTCTAAAGTTTCCTAAGGATTAATCTTATATACCTTAGTATAGGAAGTAGTCTCTATTAATAAGGTATTATTAGGATCTCTAGTATAGTTAAAATACTACCTTAAATTATAGGTAAGTAAATTATTAATAGGGTTATTAGATCCTATCTATAGACTATTATAATCTCTATCCTTAGTTTAGTTCTAGCTATATTAATTAATAGGATAGAAATTTTATTTATATTATTATTTCCTAGAGGTTTTAATAACTTTAGTATTACTAGTACTCCTTCCTTCTAATCTTTATCCCTTAGTTAAGGAAAGCTAATATCCCTTAAGATTATAATCTTCCTAGTTTCTAGATTCTAGATTTTTAGAATATATCTATTATCTCCCTTATAATCTATAAGGTATCTTTTCTAAGATCTTAGAGTAGCTTTATATACCTATACTTT